ATAACGGAATCAAACATAACAATTCTGAGAATAGCGCAGGACCAGGAAGTGTTTTGATCAGAGTTGCTGTGACTCAGAACTGACTCAACAATGGCTAACAACTATTGAAGATTATGACTTTTCTTAGGATCAATGTTGTGTTATGACACTTTAAATTTAAAGGTCCTCAAACTACAGCCTGCTGGCCACATGTGGCCCACCCGGTGTTTTTTGAAGCCGCTGTCTGTCCGGCTTAGCAGCCGACTCGTCCAGTGTGCATAGGAATTTGTTTATAGTTTTTTTTTTTAAACTATAGTCCTGCCCTCCAATGGTCTGAGGGAAAGTAAAAGTTTGAGGACCCCTGCAAGTATTTTCCGTTCCCCATGTTCTTTTTCCTTCTCACAAGCAGATTTATTCAATTTAAATACCCATCTAATCTGGAATTATCAATGGAATTTGGATCTGGGGGTCACAATTACAACAGAGTTTTATTTCTTGTTGTAACGTATTTCATATATTCAAAACACTTAATGTTTGCTGATTTCAGAAACTGCAGTGTCATGAATTTTACAGATGTCTTATTGGAAGGTGCAGTGTTAAAATAATCACTTCTATTCCAAAGGTCAGAGGTTCTTATTCACCAGATCCTGACGAAGTAAAATAACGCAGTTTGCTCCTAGAACTCTGTGATGCAGTTCTACTCTGTCCTTTAGTCACTATGATTATGAATTGGTACCGACTTGATGGCAACGGGCGTTGTAGGTAGCAGGATGGTGACGACAGAGGACAGTTCACTTAGCATGCTATGGTATGTGCTAAGTTGTCTGTGTTGGAAGAGAAGGGACGTTACCACTTATCTCAAAGAGTTAAAAAATCTAATTACTCCTACTTATTAACATAAACCTCAACAACACGTGTATATTTTGTATGTTCCAAGGTACTTTTTTCTGTCAGAATTAAAATTAATCCCAAGATTAAATCCAATTTGATTAAGTCATGAATGCTCATTGTTTTCAGTTCATCTAATATTTTGCATCTTGGCCTCAATTATAGCCATTATAAAATTTTCCCAATCTATAGCTTGTGTGCTAGATAATCATCTTTTAAAATTACCAATGAATAAAAACACTATGTCCAAATAACTGCATACATACTACTATGAGTAGTAATGCTGCAACGCTGTTGATGGCTGGTCTCTGTTACAATTCACTCTGATACAAAGACTGTAAATTTCATTGTAGCTTAATTTGACTTTAAATATGTAATGGGGGGAGGGGCACTACATGTTCCAGTTTGAAAGTCAGCTCAGCAAAAAGGGAAGGGTAATTTCAAGAGGGACACGCATGTGGCAACGTGAGTGAAGGCCGTGCCTGGTTAGACACATAAAAGAAGCTAAGAACCCTTGATACCGGAGGGCGGGTGAGGAGGGGTGGCCTCGGTGCAGGTGCAGGGATTTAGGAGGGGAGGTCAGAGAAGGGGTTTCTCCGCATCCCTAGAAGAAAGCGTCCTAAAGGATGGGAACTACCATGTTTCGTGGAAAGTAAGACATCCCCCGAAAATAAGACCTAATTATAGTTTGCCTCTCACTGAAATATAAGGCATCTCCCCCAAAATAAGACCTCCCCCAAAATAAGGACCCCCCAAAGCTACCGTAACTCTGGACCTTATAGGCCGGCATAGAGCAGTTCACTGTTGGCCAAGCGCAGCTGGAGCAGACAGGAAGTGCCAAGTCTCTTTTAATAAAACAATAAATGTGTACCGTATTGTTCTTCATGGAAAAATAAGATATCCCCTGAAAATAAGACCTCGCGCATCTTTGGGAGCAAAAATTAATATGACACTGTCTTATTTTCAGGGAAACAGGGAATGAAGTCTGTGAGTTGGCCAAACCGGTTCTCCCTGCGGCCCACAAACACCTCCCAATTACCCCGCTCCCCTTCACCCTTCTGCCCCATCTCCCGGTCCCTCTGCCCTCTCTGAAGAATGACAAGAGGAGGAATCCAAACCAGGGTCCGTGGCCCCGTTGCCACCTCCCAGGACGCAGAAACCGGGCTGCCCCTGGGCCGAGCGCTCAGATGCCCGCGCTGCCCAGATGCTAAGCTCGCGTCGCGCTGGCGCCGGAAGGACCGCGCGGGGTGTCAGCTCCCGGGGAGAGCTCCGCGCGCCGCTCCGCGC